ACTCAAATTTGGGTATCGGATCATTTTTTCTTTCAGACACATGAAACATGCACAAATCTCCCAAACAGTTTTATGTACATTTATTTAATTGGTTGTTTACGCTCTGCATAACTCTGCTTGGATCAGCTGGTTGTTGTGTTTGTGAGGGTCCAAGCAAGTGTATCGCTAACAGTGAAGTTACAGAGTTCCCTCTGGTGGACAAACTATCACGTTTCTTGTTACTTTATTCATTTTCATTTGTCAGCTGCTATAAATGCCGATACCAATCAGCCATCAAATAGCTAATATATTCCTATAATATTGGCCTACTCATAAAACTGTTTAGGCTTTACTAATCTTTTATCCGAAAATTAAAAATGCTACCAAGTCCTAAACATGAGAACAAATGAATATGACTTTTTGAACCACAGCTAATAATCTAATGACTCGTCTTCCTGTTACAGATGCCTAATGGAAAGTCAACGGACAAGGCTAAAACCAGCTATTCGGATGATGAGGGTTTGTATGATTGTTGGGTGTTTTTCTTTTCAGATTTAAAATAGGTAACCACTTAGAGAGCCAATGAAAATCTTGTCATGTTCATTTTTAGACTCAGAGGGAGACAGCGCTTCTGGCTATGACCAATCATACATGAGAGCCACGTACAGAGCAGGAGGTAAAACAAATCTGTAAATCCTGTATCTAAGAGCAAACATATATTTTTCAAGAGTGACCAAGAGAGTAGCTGGTCACTATAACTGGTCACTATAGTAACTATAAACACAAATATTACAGAACCATACTTTATATGCAATTAAGGTCAAAATAGATACAATATGAAACAAACTCCCTTCAGTGCAAAATTTACTTAAGTACCATTTTAAAAATGTAATCTTTAAAATGAAATTCTCAGTTTTCAGTCTTTGTGTGTTTCTGTTTGAGAAAACAAGGGCAGGGGATTTACTACCTTTCTGTGCAGCACACAGCAGGAAATAGTCATCCTCAGGCTCGCACTACTGGAAATACCGTATGTGGTTTATGTAAGGGTGAGCGGCAGGGTAAAAGTACCCGACTGTCATACATCACATGGACTTTGTACTAGTGGACTGGCAGGTTAAAGCCTGGCTAATGTTCGATTCATTTCTTTTGAACCTTTTCCTTCTAACCTGTTGGGAACAGTTTATGGCTGCAGTGCATGTGTGAAGACAGCTCATGATCATAGGATTGCCTTATTCTGCTCCGACTCCACAAACATTTGTAAAAAATGTACACATTTTACTGTTTTATGAAAAAGATTATCTTATGTTGAATTTGATGTTAGCAGTAATCGTAAAAAGTTAAGACGGTTGGAAATTAGGTGGTACTAAAAAGAATTAGCTGGAAGAACATTTTTCTAGTTTAACTGGTAACAGAACAGTAACATGACTATGGCTAATCTTTGAGAGGCAAAGTTTATCAGAACAAAACATGGGTAGAAGTTCATCAATCTGCAAAATGTTGTCTACAGATCAAGGAACAATTTTAGAAAAATGTTCCTCAAAATAAAATGGCAAAGACTTTGATTATCTCATCACACGACTCAGAAAATCTGGAGAAATCTCTGTGTGCAAAAAACATGGCCAAAGATCCACAACAGATTCCTGTGATCTTTGGATTAAAAACTGGCATGACACTGTTTAGGAAATCACAGCATGGGCTCAGAAACACCTCCACATGTTGTCTGTGAACAAAGTTAACCACGACATGCAGAAACGCAGCTCACTTGAAATGAACTGGATGGGACACATGGACACTGCACTGTTATTAGCGCTCACTTCAAAAGCTTGCATCTCTAATGGAATGGGGGTATATTAATGCCTATGGAAGAAAAGTGGAAGCTAGACTGTTGTAAACATTACTCTCTCCAAACGTCTTTTAGACATGTTCCTACGACCATTGAAATTGCCTTATTTTTTTTCTTTTTGTCATTTTAAACGTGACACGTTCTATTATAAATTATGTTTGCAAATCGTTGAGAACAACAGAAGCCATAATATAGAAACC